GGGACGTCAGGAAGGCTTTCTTCAACGCTGACTTAGACGAGACGATCTACGTGCATCCTGGGAGAGAGCTGTGTCCGCCTGGAAGGTGCTGGTGGTTACGCAAGGCCATGAACGGTACCAGGAAGGCGTCGCAGATGTGGGGTGAGCTTGTGAGAACTACTATGGACGACGGCCATTGGGAATGCTTGGTTGGAACTCCTAACGTGTTCTACTTACCTGCTAGCCCCAACACAGCCCCCTTCGACGAGGATAGCACAGCGATCTGCCATGGCGATGACTTTCTTGCTGAAGGCTACGACGAGCAGCTGGACGAGCTGGACGAGTTGTTGAAGCAGCAGTTTGAGGTCACGGCCAGCGCCAGACTTGGACCAGGAGCGGTGGGGCAGACTACATACCTCAAGAGGACGATCGGCTACACCGACAAGTTGCCAGGTTGCGAGGAGCCAGGTTTCTTCTGGACTGCCGATCCCAAGCATGTGGACTTCATGATCAAGTGGACGCAGAAGCGAGGTTGTAAACCAGCTCCTACTCCAGGAACGAAAGCTACAGGACAAGGCCGACGAGACAGCCTAGACCTTCTTTCCAAGGATCGTGCTCGAGAAGTGGCGGGTGCAGCAGGCACCGCTCTTTACCTTTCTTCGGACAGGCCCGACACGATGTACGCCAGCAAGACAGCGATGCAGCACGTCTCCAACCCGAACGTCTTGATGCATGCGCGTGTTCAGCGACTTGGAAGGTACTACGAAGGACAGCCTGTTTTGGTCTGGTGTTACCCACTTCAAGGTACTCCTGAAGGCATTCGTGTAGATGGTGATGCGGATTGGGCACCTACGAGTGAACTACAGCGGCGATCTACCAGTGGAGGAGCTGTGAGGTATGGCGACCACACTTGGGACTGCTACTCAGTGACGCAGAGTACGATAGCCCTAAGTTCAGGGGAATCCGAGATGTATGCTACGGGAAGTGCGACAGCCAGAGGACTTCAGTGTAAGACTTACCTGATCGAGACCCAGAGGCCCTGCAACCTGAAGATCTATAGTGACAGCACAGCTGGACGTGGCATGTGCAGCCGAGTTGGGGTGGGCAAGGTCAGGCATCTGGAGCTGAGGTACTTGTGGATTCAGGAGCGGTTGCGTCTCAAGGCGTTCGAGCTTCACAAGGAGGACACCAGCAAGATGACAGCCGACATGCTCACGAAGTACAGCGAGTGGCCGACAATCGAGAAGCATTGCACCACTCTCAACCTCAGGTTCGGAAAGCAGATGACGGGCTTGAGCGCAATGGCAGTTTTCACGGAGGTCGTGACGAAGGCGTCAGGCGAGAAGGTGACAGTGTACGGAGGATCTGACGAGGTTGCGGTTTGCCCCGCGCCTGTCAGCCACTATGTGGAGAGCGAGGAGTTCAGGTTCTACTTGATGTTGGGACTTGTTATGGTGACTGCAGCGAGTACTTTCTTATTGGGGTGCTGGTGTGGTTGCTACTTCAAGAACTTCTACGACAAGTTCTTCCTCCAGGGTGCGGTTAGCCCCGCCTCTGGAAGCACTTGCCCACCATCTGCGCGGGCTGACGTCGAGTTCAAGACCGTGTGTGCACAGCAGGACAAAGGTGCAAGGCACAAGCTCTTAAACACGTTTCTTGTGGCTGAGCTGCGAGCTGTCTTGAAGGCCAAGAGCCTGGCCGTGTCAGGGATCAAAGAAGACCTGGTCACGAGGATGATCAAGCACGGAGGTGTTCTGTCGGATCGCCAGGCCAAGGAGATCGAGCAGCTGCGGGTGATGGCTACAGCGCATGGACCTCTTGCCAAGCTTAGCTTGCAGGACATCAGCAGTCCAGAGGCTGCGCAGAAGTGGATCGAGACGTTCAAGGGCGAGTGCCGAGACCGTTCCAGAGGCTCTCAGGTGATCCACGGAGAGGGCTAGGAGAATGGTCGCAGGAAGCACTACGACGGCCGAGGGTGAGCTTTGTTTTACAGGCTGCGGTTTGCCCCGCGCCTGCCCTCAGCGGGTAGCCCCGCGATGGGTTTAGGGGGCCAGCGCCGTTGCGACGCCTGCCCAGGGAGCACAAAGAGGCTTCCCTGTGGCTCACTTTTCTTGGCTGGAGGCCGAGCCGCTTCCAGCGCCCAAGGAGAGGTGCTAGGAAGTTTGTAGTTTCACATAGATATATGATTATATAAAATATAATCTAGACTGTCCTGGAGGATCCAGGAAATCCTGCAGCCCTTTGTTGCTCGAGGAAAAGAGCGACCCTCACCTCCCCCCTTTCTCCGCGAGGGGGGTGGGTGCGCGTGCAGTCGACCATCCCCCTGTAGGGGGACACGCCCGACTTCAGTGTAGGGCCCATCTCGATCCGGTCGGTCCGCTTTGAAACCCGCTCTGGCCTGCTCGATCCGGCTCGATTCCGAATTCGGCCCGATGCCGGGCCAGGAGTGCCCTAAGACGACCGAAGAGGCCCCTGACAGGACCCCAGGAGGCCCCCAGGAGGCCCCCAAGATGCCTCCCAAAGTCGGGTCGGACGAAAGGGGGGGATAGGGAAAGGGGGGGCATGCAGCTGGTTTCGGCCCCGCCGCCGGGCCCATTCCTCGATACATAGCCGCCTCTGGCGCCAGGAGGCGCTGGGAAAATCAGCTACGTGAGCTGATTCTCAAACCCCCCCTTAGCTATCTCCCCCTTTCACCCGGCCCGACAAAGGCTCCCAGGAAGCTCCAAGGGGGCCCCAAGGAGTGCCCCCAGAGGCCGCGTGGCGCCGTTGTGCACCCTGGCGCGGGCGAGTCGATTCGAGGTCGATTCAGGGCCGGTGCAGCCCGACCCGACGCTCCTTTCGATCTGACCTGACCTCCGAAGCGGTGCTGACTGGTCACGGGGTCCCAGACAGGCGACGTCCCGATTTTTTCAGTGCGGGGACCCCGAAGTCCCGACCACTTCCCCAGGACCGGCTTTTTATCCCGAGCCGTTTTTGTTGACGGTCCCGGGGCCCAGCGAGGGCCCCCAGGGTCCGAAATTGGCGACAGACCTGCTGTCTTGATTTCTTCTGCGACGCGAGCATGTTTCGAGTCTGTCGTCCAGAATCCGTGTGTTGACAGTCCCGAGGGCCGTTCCTTCAGCGTCGTCCCGGGGCCTGGCGAGGGCCCCCAGAGGCCGAGACTGGGCAAGAACATGTCCGCCTGGAGTCTCTCGAGACTTTGGAGGTCTGGGGTGGGCGGCCCTGGCTGGGAGGGAGGAGGAGGAGGAGGAGGAGGAGGAGGAGGAGGAGCAGGACGAATAATAAGAAGCAACAACATATTAATAAGTATAGTAAGTCTCATAAGGCGAATAATAACAGCACGAACACGTATAAGAAGACTACGGCTATTCATACCATTCAATATTCATTATTGAACTATTAAGAAGACTAGTACTAGTAATACTTATACGGTTAATACACACTAATAATAGCACTACGACTAAGACTAAGACATCGTGGCATAACAATAGTAACATTGATAATGAGAAGAGGGATGCTGACAATACTAATCATAAGAGTAGTAAACGCACGATTAATGATTACACTACTAAGAAAAGTCAGACAACGAGTAATACTGAAACGGGTACTAATAACAATAGTAAACAGGATAATCATACGAAGAGTAATCAGAACAAGGAGATGAGTATGAATCCTGATACCAGAAGAACAATACTATGAAGAAGAAGAAGAGGAGGAGGAGGAGGAGGAGGGGGAGAAGTATTCAGGAGCACTCAGGATAAGGGCAACGGAAGTCCAGGCGACTCGGAGCCCGACGATTTGGCAATAGAATCCGGATTACATCAGAGAATGTTGGTTTTCCGCCTCTCGGGCCGCCTTCGGAGGACCCGAGGGATGGGGGCACTTGCCCGACAGGCTTGAAGGAGGTGGCGGGGGTCTGTGGTGCAACTTCCACCGCCAGTGCTACAGAACGTGAGAGTGTGCTTGCGCCAGTACTCTGCAATGTGTTAGCCGGGTGGAGGACTTTCGACCAATCTGTGTGGATCCTCGAAGCTTGGGCAAACCCACCAGAGCAGCGCGTCTCACACAGCTGAAGCACCGAATCCGGATTCGCACACACGGAGCTTTTCCTACAATAGAGCTCAGCACCCGCACGACCCCATTTGAACATTTATGTTCTGGCTTTTGTCAAGGTAGGGAAAACCACCGATACCCTGACAATTGGCGTTTACTAAACGGCCCTCGGCGTTTACTAAACTTCCCTGCCCTGTTCGATTCCTTCCCTGGGTGCGTTTACTAGACGGCTTCGCTTGTCGGTGTGATGATTATGGGGGTGGATTTTCTGTCCTCTATTTGTGCATCGCCCTCGCCAGCTTTGGGAGAGGAGTTTGGGACTCCGTTTTCTGTCTCTCCGAGGTCCCAGGATCGGCCTGGATCGAGGCTCCCAGACCTCTCCTCGGTCGACGGACCAGGGAGCGCTCCACGTCCTCCTCCATCTGTAGGAGGGTCGATCACAACAAAACAACCCCAAGCTTGTTTGGACATCGCAGCGGCGAGAGAGCCCGCACACTCGCGTTCGAAGGCCAGAAATTTTGCGTGTTCGTCGCGGAGTGTCCCCTCCTCTTGGCGGGAGGGGACCCACACCATCATCACAGTGTCCGTCGCCACTGTGGACGACATCGCCTTGCCGATTCGAGAGGAGGAGGAGGTGGAGGAGGAGCAGGAGGAGCAGGTGGAGAAGGAGGAATATGAAGACGAACAGTAGGAAGAACAAGAACACGAAACTATTAATTATATCCAGAGGATGATCATACAGAAGAAATAATCATGACAAGCAGGAGGAGGAAGAGGAGGAGGAGGAGGAGGAGGAGGAGGAGGAGGAGGAGGCGGGGGGGGGGGAGGAGGGAGGAGGAGGAGGAGGAGGAGGAGGAGGAGGAGGAGGAGGAGGAGGAGGAGGAGGAGGAGGAGGAGACGCGAGCATTCCTGGGGTGGGCCTCCTCGAGGCGTCAGTCGAAGCTCTGGGGCCCCATCCGGCGTGCCAGGCCTGCCCGCCCGCCGCCGGCCCGGCCGCGGCCGCCGCCGGGGCGGAGAGTGGGCTGCGGCCAGCGCTGCGCGTGCGGAACACGTTCCTGGACGTCAGGAGGAGGAGGAGGAGGAGGTGGAGGAGGGGAAGGTACCCTGACATGATCGCGTCGTAAACAAATATCAGGACGGCAAGTTTGTCGCTGGCTTCGGCCCCCATGGGGGCCCTCGCCAGCCCCGGGGAGCGTCAAGAAACGACGCAGGATGAAAGACGGGCCCCCGGGAAGGGGTCCGGACTTGCGGAGACGCCGTACTGAAAAAAAATAGGACGTCGCATGTCTGGGTACCAACACCGCTGCTCGTTCTGGAGAGGCCTCATCTCGGGGGCGGCCAAGAGGGGGGTGATGGCTAGAGGGGGGGAGGGTGTCATGGCGGGGGCCATGAGATCGTGGCGCCTCTTCTTGTTTCAGTGCGTCGCCGACCCCCCCCCCTGGACCGCGCACATGCCGCCGGCCATCTTTTGCGCCCCCCTCTCTTGGACGCCGCCCTCTTCCCAGACATCCGACGTCTTGATTTTTTCAGTGCGGCGTCCTCGGAAGTCCACCCCGGGGCCAGTCTTAAACCTGAGTCGTTTTCTGATGCTCCGACGACAGCCCCCAGGGGCCGAAGATAGCGAAACACTGGCCGTCCTGATTTTTTTTGGTTCGACGCGATCATGTCTGGGTTGGGCGCCCCCTGATCATCGCCACGGCTGGATTCTCCTCTCGAGATTCCAGTCAGAACGCTCCCCGGGAGAGGTCTGTGGAGCAGCAGTACAGCGGCATACCTCCCTGCGTCCCCGCAGGACGCGCCCGTGCAGAGGTCATCGGCTTGGAGCCGTCTGGGAAACTGAGGTGGCTCTGGCTGACCCAGATTTGGTGCAACAGGTTTGTGCAATAGATTTGGTGCAACAGATTTGTGGCTGCCATAGCTTTGGGGCGTGCAATACATTCCCCGGTGCGCAAAGGTACTGCTGATTTTTCGCGCGCAACGCATTGGCTGCAATACAACGTCATACAATTCGCTGGCGCAGTACATTTGCAATACTATTGGCCCATGTTGCACCACCCCCCTGGACTCTCTTTTGGGTCAACCAAACAGTGGCCCAGCACTGGTTCGGTCAGCAGGGAGGGCGGGCAGGGTCGAGGTTATGGGTTCGGGCATGTTCTTTTTGTTCGGCCTCTGGGGGCCGTTTTCGGGCCCCAGGGCAGTGAAACCTTGCTCCGGGTTGAAAAACCGACCAGATTGACCCCTGGAGGGGTCGGGGCTTTCGATTTGGAGTGGATTTGGCCTCATCCCGCCCTCCTGACCGATTTTCTGGGGTTCGGGCTATCGGTGCGGATAGAATGGGAACGAAGATCGCCAGCAGCTCCTGTCCATCTTGGGCAGGATTTGCTGTCGGTGCCGCCACGGGCCTTGCCCATTTGAGACAGGAGGGGGCCTGCCCAACAGCGGCTGCTGCTGACGGTTTTGGAGAGCATTTGTTGTTGGACATCGTACCCATTTTTTCCGTACCCATTTCGGGCGTCCACAACCTATCCCCATCCTCGTTGTGCTATGGTATCTCCCGAGACACGCAATGTCTTGAACCAATCAGGGCGGAGGTTTTGCGCAGTTTTCGGCCGCTGGGGGCCCTTACAAGGCCCAGGGACCGTCAACAACGACTGAGGATGAAAAATGGGTCCTGGGGAAAGGGTCGGTGTTTCTGGGGACTGCGTGTTGAAAAATCTAGACATCGCATGTCTGGGTCCCACCCCCCAACTGGGGATAGGCCCTTCGAAGCCCGAAGGGAGCAGCTATTCTCCATCAAGGGGGGTAAATCGGCCAGTGGGGCCCAGGCAACGCCAGTGGGGATAGGGATCGGTTAAACGATACTCAGGTCTGCCTCCCTGGAGCGCTTCCTCGAGCTGGAGGAACCAACAACGGCAACACACAACATTTCTCGGAGCTCCGCTCGGATTTCTTAGATCGGCGCTGGGCCCCCCAAGGCGGTGCCTCCGACACCGCCCCCCGGCGCGCTCCGCGGGCGAGAGCGAAGGTTCTCCAGCGCCGATCCCAGAAGTCCGCGTGAACCTCAGAGAAGTGACGCTGGTGCAGTTTTTTGTTCCTCTGCGAGCCGCGCATGTGCCTCTCGACGCCGCCGACCCCCCAGGTCCGAGGTGGGGACTTGCCCACCACCACCGCCCGGGGCGGCTCGCCCTTCGGGGAGAGGACCACTCCAAGAAGCACCATGCTTGCCTCCAGGGTGCCTTGGGTTTCTTGGGTTTCCATGGTTTCGCTATGGAGAGCGTGACGCTCCCACACAGAACATCCAGGGCGTCCGGGGGTGTCTCAGGGTTGGATTTCTTGCGGAAGGCTTCTTGTGGTCGAGCCCCTGCTGTATGGTTGCATTCGGGCCCCGGGGCGGCCAAGCACGTCCATACCCACCGCTTGCCGACGCCCTCGAAGGTTGAATTCCTGACGTGCGATGCCTTGCCTTGTTCAGCACGCTGCCACCGGAAGTCCCGACCCTTTCTCCACGGGGTCAATATTTTTCATCCCGGGTCGCTGTCGACAGTCAGGGGACCGACCCAGTGAGGGCCAGCAGGGGCCGAGAAGAGCGAAAAAAGTGCCGTCCTGATTTTTTGTACGACGCGAGCATGTCTTTGGGAGGGGGACGAGGAGGAGGAAGAAGAGGAGGAGAAGGAGGAGGAGGAGGAGGACGAGGAGGAGGAGGAGGAGGAGGAGGTGGAGGAGGAGGAGGAGGGAGGAGGAGAACCAGAGCAGAGCCAGCAGTGTCCGTCCAGCTGTGGACTCGAAGGCGCGGCACGTCCGGGCTCCCCGGGCGGTAGGCTGTGGGGGCACGGCCCGGCCTCGCTGCAGGGGCGCCAGGGCGTGCGCCCGCAGATCTCCACCAGCCTGGAGGACGACCCGCTGCCCGCCTACATGATCAACACGCCCACGGAGATGATGGGCGTGTTTTCCACCACCACCACCACAAGTTGGATGGGGGAAGGAGGAGGAGGAGGAGGAGGAGGAGGAGGAGGAGCAGGAGGAGGAGGAGGAGGAGGAGGAGAGGAGGAGGACCCCCTCCCCCTTCTACTTATGGTAGCGGCGGTTGAAAACGGTCCCACCAGGAGAGCGTCCGCGAGGGCCTCTTCGCCTCGCCGAGGGGCGAGTCCCTCTCGTGGCCGCGACCGGCCCTCGGGCGGGGCGAGATATACCCGCGTGCCCAGACTGTTGGCGGCGAGCGAGAGGAGGAGGAGGAGGAGGAGGAGGAGGAGCAGGAGGAGGAGGAGGAGGAGGCCTTCTCAGAAGGTTCGGAAGTCCCCCGTCCTTCTGAGTAGTGTTCTAAGTCTTCCCCGAAAACAAAAAAACTTCTCAGAAGGCGCGAGGGCTTCGGAGAAGTCCCGCCAACTTCGGAGAAGGCCCTCTCCTTCTCATTTGATATTTCCCCCCCTCGCTCGCCGCCAACAGACCTCTTGCAATGTCATTTGAGCGACGGGCGAGCATTCAAAGAGAACATAGAGGCCTAGAAATAAACTTTCGGAGTTGCGCGGACCTCCGCAAGTTTTTGTTCATGCCGGTTTCTGTTCCTCTAAACATGGTTCCAATTGCGCGGACAGTGGTGCGTTAGCTGTCCGAGGAAGGTGGCGCGAACGCGCCTTCGTTCTTCACGCGGTGCGTGAGCCACCGCGTCAGGTGGCTATGCCATTTTGCGTAAGACCCGTTTTTTTCGAGGCGCTGATTTGGTCAGTTCCAGTTTTTTTTTTTTTTGGGGGGGGGGGGGGGACTGTGTGGACAAGCTGCTTCCCCTTGTCTGTGGGGGCCTTCCGCGATGTTGGATTTCCTCTCGATCTCCTCTTGCCTATGAGGGCCTTCGTTGTTTGCTCTGTGGCCGGGGGTGAGCCCCTCTGGATATCCGGAATCGGTGGCCCGTGGTCTCCCGCAATTGTGGCCTTCCGCTCGACCTCCCGTCGTTTTTTTTCCCAATCTCCTGTGGTGTTGGTTCCTCCTTGTGAAGAGACGGTCCCCGCGTTCCTCATTCCTCTTCCCCCTCCTCCTCCTCCTCCTCCTCCTTCTCCTCCTCCTCCTCCACCTCTTCTTCCTCCTCCTCCTCCTCCTCCTCCTCCTCCTCCTCCTCCTCCTCCTCCTCCTCCCTCCTCCCCTCCCTGCCTCTGCTCTCCACATGCCCATCCCATTTCGGCACACCCCTCACACGTTTCGTGGCCCTATGGGGAGCTCCACCTGTGGCCCCAATGGGAAAGTTCGCATGGCACCGCCGCTCCATTTAGGCACACCACACGTTTCGTGGCCCCATAGGGAGCTTCACGGACGGCCCCAATGGCGACGTTCGCAGGCGTCCTCCCGACTCATTTCGGCACACCCTTCACACGTTTTGTGGCAGAAGGCTACATCGCGTGCGCTACTCGGAGTTTGCGCGCCCCCTCCTTCGTCTCATCTCCAGGGGGCACTCGCAGCTGCATATGGTTGGGTCCTTCGTCATGTTAATTTTGTTTTCGCGCACGGCCGGCCTCTGCGCTGGTCTCCCGCAATATGGCCTCCCCTACTTGGCCACGCGCAGAAGGGGGGTAAGGGGAGGGGGGAAGGCTTCTTGGATGCACCCCTGCTTCTTAGAAGGCGCGGGTCTGTAGATGTAATGCCGGCGCCTTCAAAGAAGCAGCCTGCTTCTAAGAAGCCTTCAGAACGCACCCCGGGAGAGGTATCGGTACCTTTCGGTCTCCCCCCTCCCCCCTTAGAGTAAATCTTGGCTGTTTTTGGCCCCTGTTTCGAGCAGGTGGAGTCTCCCCCCTAGGACGCACTGTTGCAAACAGTCGCGCTAAGCAGAGGTCCAGAGCCAGACCCCCACCCCCTCCCCCCCTCTTCCGCCCAATGTCGAAACGTCGAAAAAGAAAAAGCTTATCCTGGTGGCATCAATAGTTAGTCAGAGCCCCAGACATGCGACGTCCTGACTATTTTCAGGACGGCGTCCCCGGAAGTCCCGACCCCTTCCCCGGGGCCAGTTTTTCATCCTGAGTCGTTTTTTGGCGCTCCTGGGGCCCGGCGAGGGCCCCCAGGGGCAGAAAATAAAGAAAAACTTGCCATCTTGAACATTTGTTTTACGACGCGAGCATGTCTGGGCTCTCAGTCCCCTCCCCTTCTCTTCCTCCATCCCTCCCCGCGTCGCCACTCCTCGGCGCTCCAGCGCCGCCGCCGGGCTCTCGTGGGGCCGCCCCCTGGGACGCCCGACTGGCTCCTCGCCTGGCCTCGCCTCCCGTGTGCTCTCCCGTGTGAACAACAAGTTCGAAGAAGAGAGAACGCCATAGTCTACGCTGGTCGGCCGGCTCGGTTCGGCGGGTTCGGTTCGCACCGCGGGCCGGTTCGGTTCGGCCAGTCAGGTTTGGCAGGCCGGCTCGGTTCGGCCAGTTCGGTTCCAGACCCGGTTCTCGGTTTTTGGTTCGGTTCGCGGCCATCATGCACAGACATAATGGTTTGGCACACCGCGCGGATTTCTTGGATCTGCGCAGGCGCCGCCAGGGGGCCCAGCGCAGATCCAAGAGATTCGCGCGGAGCGCCAACAGTTTGTGTGTTGTGGCGTTCTTTCTTCTATCTAAGTGCAATCCAAGCATTTGTTTCGGGGTTGTTTTGATGTGATGTTTAGGTTCCTCTAGGCGGCGCCTCCGTGCAGCCGAAGGTGGGCCTGGCCAGGGGGGGGGGCGCGGGCCTTGCCTTGGGGCTCCTCCTCACGTGCGCATGCCCACACCGGCCTCCCAGAGTCTCCAGCTCGTCGATGTGAATAGAACCCGTGTAATACCCTCATATAATACTCCTTATCCTCACCTCTCCTGCGCCTGGCCGTTTGGGCTCAGGTATTGGGACATATCGATCAGACCTTTGATCGTGCAGGAGGGAAAGACATCCATCTATCCCTCCTTCCCTCTACCAACGGATCAGGGGATCTGTACCCTTGTACTTCAACCCCATACACAGGTTATCAGCCCTTTAAAGCTCACTGTTCATCGAACCCCGCGTCGCGACCTCGCACGCGGCCTCGATGGAACCCAAGCGGCGCATGCGCCGTAAGGGGTCCATCGGGGCCTCGCGTCCGAGCTCTCCGACGGCGCGACGGCTCGGTGATGAGTTGGAGAGCCTTAGTGCGGACTGTGTTGGTGTCCCAGGTACCCCCCCCCAGCTCCGACGGACCCGAGGCGCGTCTAGCTGCTGAACTTCACCGCGGCGTCGCCCGCGGGGGGGCAGGAGAAGGAGTAGGAACAGGTAGGAAGGAGTTTCACACGCCTACCTTCGATTCTCCATCTCCTCCTCAGTCGGGAGCAATCCCAACTGCGTCAGGCGAAAGCCTCACTGGTCCTGATACTCCAGGGCGCTTTCGCGCTAACCGCCGATGGACCTCAGGCGCTGGTACCCCCAGCCCTGCGACCGTTCCTGTTGCGGAGCACGTAGCCACCTTCGAGGAACTCAGTAGACCAGTGGCGGCACAGCCGCAGACGCAGTATCCCAAGGTATCATCGGATGAGACACCACACACACACGGTCCTAGTCGCAGCTCGTCCGCGCGCAACCGTCGTGGGGCCCCAGGCCCATGCGGCGAGAGTAGGTCGAGCCAGCGTACTGCCTCTCAGAGGCCAAACGCTCCTCGCGAGAGGGGGCAGAGGGAAGCCTATGCTCCCCACCTCTCCATCTCAGACGACCAGCTGGCGGAAACGTCCGCCGCAGGTGAAATAGCTGAGCTCAGAGACCAGGTTGAAACCTTCGTGTCCAGGCAATACTCTGGACTACTGCAGAGCGTTCAGACGAACGCTGCCACTACTGCAGCCATACGCCAAGATCTTGACGGCGCCTTAGGGATCATTGATTCCAGGATCGCCGAAGATCGACGCATCATGGGTGAACTGCAGTACCAGGTTGATCGTGAGGTGTCACACTCAGGTGAACGAACGGCGATGGTCGAGAACCTGCGCAACTACCTTGCGCAGATGGAGCAACAGCTTGTACTCGTACGCGACACAGGCGTTTCAGCAGTCAGGATCCTACACGATGAGATCCACGACCAGCTCCGTAACCGACCAACACCAGCCGAGGCCACCGACCTTGGCGACGTTCAGTCTCAGATCAATGATCTTCGATCCCAAATAGACCACACTACGGCGACGCTTCGCAACGAAGCACACACCAACTCGTCGAACCTGATCGACATGTTGCAGCGCACTGAGAGAGTCATCAATCCAAAGCTTGATGCGACCAACGCTGTCGCGCAGCCACTCGCTAACCGGATCTCTGAAATCGAGCAGCGTTTTCCTGGTGTACAGGGCGCCCTGGCAGAGGTGCGCGTCGGACGAGCCCAGACTGGCCAGCTGGATTCTCCTCCCACGGTTTACGATTTCGCCCGCCTCACTGACAGGTTGCAGGAGGTTGAGAAGGCGGCGGACCACACGCAGTTGGAGCTCTCCCAGGTTATTCGTGAGAGAGATACTGAGAAGGTACGTGTTGAGGGGCACCTCGCACGTCTGGAAAGCGAGCTGGAGGCACAAGGCGCCCGTCTCCGAGCCTACGAGCAACGACTTGATCGGCGCTCACAACGTTCTCGGGATACGGATGAGTACACGCGCCAAAAGGTGGCCCAAATACACGAAGACATGACGAGCTGGACGAATCAGCTGATCGACCACACCAACGACACCAGTCTCCACCTTCGACCTGCAACCGACCTGCACAGGCCGACGGCAGCGTCCGCCGAAGCACCACAAGCTTCTGCAGGACAACAACGACGTACGTCACCAGAAGCAGCCTCCGCGGCAGCTTCTGCACAGACACGCCATGTGTCTCCTGCGCGCACAGAACCGACTACTGACGGTGTACCGATACCCTCACAACCATTGTCTGCGGTTTCGGTCAATACTACTACTCCTATCAACGAGTCAGACACCGTCCGAGTCCCTGTTTTGCCTAAGATTACACAGCTGCTCGTGTGGCAGCAAAAGGTACGGAATAACTTTGGCGCTGCCTCAGGGCGACCATCCAAAGCATATGCCTTCCTATGCGTGGCTGAACAGCCCGAGTGTACCTTCGAGGACTTACATGACAGTGGAGACTTTGAGAGCATCGATTGCAAACTCGCTACCGCTCTGAGCGACATCTTATCCTCAGACTTGCGCTACCAAATCAGATTCATCGAAACCAG